ATATATATATGTGTGTGTGTGTGTGTGTGTAAAAGCCCTTCTGTGATTCCAATATCCTTTTAAAAAAGCTCACCCTCAGCATCATCTTTTCAGGTCATGTGTTATAAAGATAGAAAACTGTTCCAAGACAGCATGATGAAAAAGACGCAGAAACTGAAGATAGACGGGCACCTTTGGTTTTAAGGATTATTTTATGGCAAATTGCATAATTTTAAACTCAATCTGCCCCAAAAACCTGGCACACGACAGTATTTTTTTTTTTTTCATGGGACTTATGCAAGCAATAGACCGTTTTATAGTTCAGCATCTTTGCAGGTTGGGTTTTTCTACATAGAGACATTGTTTAAGGCATCAGGTAACATTGATGTCACATTTTACAAAATTTTTTATTTTTCCATCCATCCAACCATTATCTTCCACTTATTTCGAAGTCGGGTCGCAGGGGCAGCAGCTTGAACAGGGAGGCCCAGACATCTCCTTCCACAGCCACCTCTTCCAGCTCTTCTGGGAGGATTCCAAAGCATTCCCAGGCCAACAGAGAGACATAATATCTCTCCAGCATGTCCTGGTTCTTCCCTGGGGTCTCCTCCTAGTGAGACATCCCCGAAGTACCTCCCTAGGGAGGCACCCAGGGAGCATCCTTACCAGATGCCCAAACCACCTCAACTGGCTCCTCTCGATGTGGAGGAGTAGCGGTTCAACTCTTGAGTCTCTCCCGGATAACTGAATTTCTCACCCTATCTCTAAGGGAGAGTCCAGCTACCCTGCGGAGGAAACTTATTTCATCTGTCTGTATCTGCAAGCTCATTCTTTCGGTCACTACACAGAGCTCGTGAGCGACCATAGGTGAGGGTAGGAACGTAGACAGACCAATAAACAGAGAGCTTTTCCTTACAGCTCAGCTCTCTCTTCACCACAAAGGACCGGTACAGAGTCTGCAATACTGCAGATGCTGCACCAATCAGTCTGCAATCTCATGCTCCATTCTTCCGTCACTTGTAAACAAAACCCCGAGATACTTGAACTCCTCCACTTAAGGCAGAATCTCACCCTGGACCCGAAGAGAGCAATCCACCATTTTCCGGTTGAGAACTACGGCTTCAGATTTGGAGGTGCTGATTCTCATCCCAATCTAAACCTCAGCCACAGTTATGGACAGATCTACCCCAAAGTACCCCGACTCAGCTTCCTCCATGGAAGACTAGTTTAGACTGAGCTTTATTTGTGTTGTATAAAAAAAGTACTCTAACAAATTGTGTGTTTTAAAACTCAAGAGATCAAGAAGTAATTTTTGCTTTAACATGCTAAGCTGCTTAACAGTCCTCTAAGACAAAGTGTTCAGGTACTTATTCTCCCCAGCCAGTGAGGTAAGCATGGATGTCATGTCACCCACTGCCATGTTGGACAGGCCAGAGCCTGGAGCAAGGCTGACAGAAGTCTGTGGGGTGGTGAGACGGGAGGAAGCCTGGGAAGTAGATCCCAAATGTTCCTGAAGGGGATTGTTGACTGGACTAAATGAGGAAGAATTGGCATCATCAATGATGGATGTAAAGTCTATGCGAGCATTGTCCAAATCCAAGTTTTCTAAGGCATTCGAAACAGGACCAGACTCAGGGTAGGGAACCAATGGGGCTGACTTTGTATCACCGGTTGGGTCCAGGCCCGACACAATACTGTTCTGCTGATTAAGGTAAGGTCCATTCTGGGGGTCCATGTGTTTCTCCATATCAATATGTATCTGACCCGAGTAGTACATGTTGTTGTTGTTACTGGAGGGAGAGAACATCTCATTTTGGGGTTGCTGTGGATGCGGAACTGGAGGAAGTCGAACCCCTCGTCTTGGACTAGAAGTGGAGTGGACAGGGCTGAGGTGGGGTGAGCTGCCAATATAACCTCCTCCGACTTGTGACAGGCTGTTCTGACGGCTGAGAGGCTTTTGTCCCTGAGGGGGCCTGGGTACCACCATTTCCTGATTATAGCAAGAACCCTGGATACCTGCTAGGTGCTGGGCTTTAGGTGTAACTGAGATGGGCCCTTGACTGTGAGCAGAGGGGCTCATGATCAGACTCTGGTCAGGATAGGAAGGATAAGCCTGGCTAGAGTATAAATTCTGATTCTGGTGCTCTGGACTCTGTTGTATAATTGCTGTCTGAGCACTCAAATCCATATTGTCAGAAACAGGAGGTGGTTTAATTCCATTTTGCGGCTGTTCTTGTTGCTGCTCCCACATGAGTGCTTGCTGGGACTGGACATAATTCCTCACCATCATCTCTTTTACCTGCATCATTGGAGTTTCTGACCTTTGTCCATCCGACAATGTAGAGCCAACACAGCCCAAGCTTACCCCCCCTCCACCAGAGAAACAATTTTGATTTGGCCTTTGAAAGTCACAGCTGGGATGGCTGGAGCTCCTCATTGATCCCTGACCCATCTGTTGAGGGTAACCCTGTGTTTGTTGCAGCAGCATTTGTTGCTGATGTAGCTTAGCACTTTGACAGGAACCTCCTCCACCCATACCTGGGTGGAACTGCTGCTCAGGCTTGATAATGAGTTTGTGAGTTCCATCCGTATTGTTGTAGAGACCTGTCTGATTGCTGAAATGGGGTTGTGTCTGTTGAGGCTGCAGACTGGGATCTGAATACTGCATTGATTGCTGGTTTTGAAAAGAATGGTTGGACGTTTGCATTTGGTTGTGAGTACCATTCCAAAGTCCTCCAGAGTTACCACCATGTCCTAAATTAGGATAATGTGGGCCTGAAGGACTGAGCTGACAGGTGCTCATACTGTATTCAGCCTGCTGAAGAAGTGTATTTGACATACCCTCTTGCTGAGGCCTTGGCTGGTCCATTGAATTTCCATTAGCCCTGGAAATGACCTCTCCTCCATGACCTTGATTGTACCGCTGCATGTAACCATGATCTGGGCAGCCAAGAGAATTGTGTCTTGGGGACAGTTGGTTTGTAAGAGGACCCCCACCTCCAATGGTCTGATTCTGCTGCTGGTAGCTCATCGTGTTTCTCTCTCCATGGGTAATCATCATAGAACGATCGCTTGTATCAACAGCATTGAGATGGGGCTCCATACCCATAGCTTCCATCATGACATTCTCTGTGATGCTAGGTGGGCGAGGAGAGTACATGTGACGAGCAAGACTAACGTCAGAGCCATGGTGTTGTAGTGCATTTCTGCGGCCCATCATAGCTACATTATTAAGGCTATTGAAGCGTTTGGGAAGAGCTTGTGAATCTGCTGCTGATCGCACCGGATCACTGGCTCGCCTGAAGTTGTTACCTGGAGCCTGGTGAGGATAGATAACACCTGTACCATATTCTGTGTTGGCACTGTGTCTTCGAGGACCACCTTGCTGTAGGAAAGGAGGCAGGTGTTGTCCTTGGTATTCACTTAAAAGACCCCCTCTTCGAACTGGTGTGCCTGACTGCTCCATATTAGGTAAAGGAGTAGGCGGAGGCCCACCAGTGGCTGCAGCATACTTGGCCTTTAGTTTGTAGTGCTGAGCAGGTGTTAAATTAGGAAGACCTGGCAATCCTCCTCCAGGACATGGAGCTCCTCTGCGGTTGCTCTCAGGTGAGAGGGGCTCTCCCCCAGCTTGTTCTGGGCTCAATAGGTGGCATCCTCCCCCTGCTGTTCCTCCCATTTGTGAGACCTCACTAGAGCGACGGCTGGATGGGTATGGGGACGCCATAGAAGAACGACGGCTCACAGTGTATGCAGAGCTTAAGCTGCTTGTGCCACTTCCTCTTCTGTCATTAGCAGAGCTGCTTCCACCTCCAAGCTCATGGCTAGAAAGTGCCATTACACGTCGATTAGAGAGAAGTGGAGAAGGTGCGCACATGCCCTTGTTTTCTCCTGAACCTAAAATGAAACAATCATGAGAAAATTAGTTCAGCACGAATCCACAAAGAAAATTTGATAAATTTCACATTTATTTTTTTGTCCTTAATAATTCTTAAATTTTTATGTGTCATATGACAAGGATGTTCTTACAATACACTGTGCCATTCTAAACACAACTTGTCAGAAAAGCTCTATTTTTCCAAAATTTACATTTTTTTAATATCATCACATTTACCAGGAATGGCCGGAAGCTTGCTACTGGCACATCGGCCAGGAGGGGTTGGCCTACAAATTTGCTTCAACTTGTCAATCTTTAGGTTCTCCAGCCTCTTCAGAGCTTGTGCAGACATTCCCATTGTTCCTGGCTCTCCTCCTCCTCCAGTTGCAGCTCCATCTTCTAATGCAGTGAGATCATCCAAGCTACCTGCTGCATTTAGGTTCATTTCCACACCACTATCATTGTTGTTGGTGCTCCCCAAAGGAGAACGTTCACTACTGCAGGATGACTGACCACCAGGACTTGGCTGGGACTTCTGGAAGATGAGAAAAACAGTTAAAAAAAAAATTT